ATGCAAGCTACATACCAAAAGAACAGTTGCAAACAACACCAGATCAAGTATGGTACCTTCCACATTTCGATGTTCATCACCCTAAAAAAAACAGAACAGTTCCGAGTGGTCTTCGATTGCAGCGCAGCTTTCGACAATCAGTCCTTGAACAAGCTCTTGCTACAAGGACCAAATTTGATGAACAGTTTGATCGGCGTACTTTTGAGACTTCGCAAGGAATATGTCGCCATTACCTGTGACATTGAACAAATGCTTCATAGTGTTTATGTTATTCCCGAACACCGCAATTTCCTTCGTTTCTTGTGGTTTAATGATAACGAACTTGATGGACAGATAGTGGAATGTCGAATGAATGTACATCTCTGCGGGGCAACGTCTTCTCCTGGCGTCGCTAATTTCAGTTTACGAAAACAGCAGATGTTGGACGAGAACAATTTGGAAATGAAGCTGCAGACTTTCTCCAAAACGATTTTTTCGTAGATGATGGATTTACATCTTTATCAACCAAAAGAGAAGCTATTGATCTGATTCAAACAACCCAAGCAATGTGCGCGAACGCCAATTGACGCGTACATAAGTTTGCCAGTAATCGACGAGAAGTTCTAGAATCATTGCCAGTAGATGATCGAGCCAAAGATCTTAAAGACATTGATCTACGTCACGACGTGCTGCCAGTTCAAAGATCGTTAGGAACATTCTGGTGTATAGAGTCCGACACTCATGGTTTTCGCATAGAACTGAAAGATAAACCAGCCACACGTCGTGGTATCCTCTCCACAATTTGCTCGGTCTACGATCCTCTTGGTATCGTCGCACCTGTTATCTTAGTCGGCAAGCAAATCCTGCAGGACCTCTGTAGTCAGAATGTGGACTGGGACGATCCCTTACCTACCCGACGACTATTTAATGAGATGGGGAAAATGGCGCAATGAATTACCACCGCTCGAGAAAGTTAAAGTTTCACGTTGCGTCAAGCCGCCAGAGTTCGAAGACTTTGTTAAAATAGAGATTCATAGTTTTTTCGACGCAAGCGAAAAGGGAATTGGCGCAGTATCATATTTGAGAATGGTCTACGTCAAGAATGAAGTCCATGTCAGCTTTCTAATGGCGAAGTCGCGAGTAGCTCCAATTCAAACAATTTCGGTCCCACGCTTGGAGTTAACCGCAGCAGTTGTAGCGGCCAACGTAACCACCATGCTTAAAAATGAACTGAACTATGACGATCTGCAAACTGTCTTCTATACAGACTCGGAAGTCGTGTTGGGTTACATCAATAACGAAGCCCGCCGTTTCCATACCTACGTCGGCAACAGAGTCCAACATATCCGAGATCGCACCGAACCAGAGCAGTGGCACCATGTTGGTGGTAAAAACATCCCAGCTGACGAGGCGTTTCGTGGTCTTGCTGTTCGAGAAATACTTGACAATCAGAAATGGTTCGCAGGTCCGTCATTCCTGTGGGCAAGTGAAATATCAGCGGTAAATGAACGTCCAACACAACTGCACGAAAGTGATGTAGAAGTGAAGACAAGTGGCACGTCATCGTCATTGATCTCCAGCGCTGTGAGTATCCTGGACAAGAAACAACCAACAGAAGCATCTAGTTGTGTGCCCAATTCTTGGAGCAGGCCGGCGAGAACTGAACGGACTGTTCTGATGAGACGTTCCCATATTCCACCCATGTGAGAAGATTTGGGAGTATTCATGTTGAATTCTATCCAGTCACAATCGTTTTTCAAAAGGTAATGGTGGATGCGATCGTAGTTGAGTTCGCCTAGAGCTGAAGTTAGCTCATTCTTAGCCCCAACAAAGTTCGTTCCCTGATCCGAACGTAATTCACAAACTTTTCCTCGTCGGTTGATGAATCGTCTCAATGCGTTGATAAATGAATCCGTTTCCATAGAATTGAGTGCCTCTAGATGAACTGCACGAGAACATAGACAAGTAAAGATCAAACCGTATCGTTTCACAGTCTTTCTTCCATCTTTGATAAGCCATGGACCAAATATATCCATGCCAGTATAGGTGAACGGCGCAGCTGGTTCCAAACGCTCTTCGGGGAGGTCAGACATCTTCTGTGTGAGGTTTGCCCGACGTAACTTTCGGCATGTGACACACTTTGAAATATGACGTGCTACAACAGATCGTCCGTTGGTTATCCAATAACCAGCTTGTCGAATGGCATTTAACGTAGTTCCACGACCTTGATGGTGAACGATCTTTTCATGAAAATGACGAATAATTAGTTCTGTGATATGATCGCTCTTAGGGATGATCACAGGATGCTTAACATTATACGGAAGGGATGCGAGCATCATACGGCCACCAACTCGAAGAAGTCCTACCAGGTCGATGAATGGATCCAGTCTGTATAGCGTACTCGTTCGTTTGACCTGACTGTTCATTTCACGAACGTCTTTGCGATCTTCAAATCTGCTTTTGTTGCCCAAAAGATTTTGCAGTGCTTTAATCTCTGGAGCATAATGACTTTGCTGGAGGCTTCGTAGAATAACAATCTCTGATTGCATCAGTTCATCAACGGAAATTACTGCCGTTCCTGTTTCTTTATGAGGCGCTGTTGTGCTGACAGGTCTTTTCATGGGATTATTATTATTATTATTATTATTATTATTATTATTTAATCTTATTTACACACATATACAACGGTAGCCCTTCAGCAAGTTTATCTACAGTTCTTTGTAGCTAGCTGATTTTCAAGGGGCCGTTGATTAATAATAAGGGAAGAAAATAATGAAAATATACGAATATATAATATAAATATAACACACGAATAATCCCCCCCCCCCTTCCTTCACTCAGTCCTCCCACCCACCCTTATAATAAAACATTAAAAACTTTAACAATCTACGTTTGTCTGTCACGGAGCAGCGCTTTAAATCTTGTTAATGTTATACCATTATCTTTAAGTTCTGTTGGCAGTTCATTCCAAATCTTTACTCCTGAGTAGCCGATACTTTTTTTAAGAAAATTAATTTTAGGCTTTTTTATCGAAAAGTCACAATCGTTATTGCGTAAATTATAATTTTCATTATTTTTCACATTAAAGATATCAGTAATTGTTGTCAGGTATTTGCCATTTTTGGCTTTGTACATAAAAAACTGCCTTATTCTCTCTCCAAAAAATAGTCTCGGACCTGATCATGATCTTTATATTGTCGTTTGAGACTTCCGACTCCTCTCTTGATCTGGGCTAACCATCTCTTTGCTTGATGCCACGAAAAAAAACACGATCGAAATACTTTAGATTTAGATTGCATAGAAATATATACGGAAGAGCTTCTGTTGGTTGTTTCTTGTCCAGGATACTCACAGCGTTGGAGATCAATGACGATGACGTGCCACTTGTCTTCACTTCTACATCACTTTCGTGCAGTTGTGTTGGACGTTCATTTACCGCTGATATTTCACTTGCCCACAGGAATGACGGACCTGCGAACCGTTTCTGATTGTCAAGTATTTCTCGAACAGCAAGACCACGAGACGCGTCGTCAGCTGGGATGTTTTTACCACCAACATGGTGCCACTGCTCTGGTTCGGTGCGATCTCGGATATGTTGGACTCTGTTGCCCACGTAGGTATGGAAACGGCGGTCTTCGTTATTGATGTAACCCAACACGACTTCCGAGTCTGTGTAGAAGACAGTTTGCAGATCGTCATAGTTCAGTTCACTTTTAAGCATGGTGGTTACGTTGGCCGCTACAACTGCTGCGGTTAACTCCAAGCGTGGGACCGAAATTGTTTGAATTGGAGCTACTCGCGACTTCGCCATTAGAAAGCTGACATGGATTTCATTCTTGACGTAGACCATTCTCAAATATGATACTGCGCCAATTCCCGTTTCGCTTACGTCGGAAAAACTATGAATCTCTATTTTAACAAAGTCTTTGAACTCTGGCGGCTTGACGCAACGTGAAACTTTAACTTTCTCGAGCAGTGGTAATTCATTGCGCCATTTTTCCCATCTCATTAAATAGTCGTCGGGTAGGTAAGGGATCGTCCCAGTCCACATTCTGACTACAGAGGTCCTGCAGGATTTGCTTACCGACTAAGATAACAGGTGCGACGATACCAAGAGGATCGTAGACCGAGCAATTTGTGGAGAGGATACCACGACGTGTGGCTGGTTTATCTTTCAGTTCTATGCGAAAACCATGAGTGTCGGACTCTATACACCAGAATGTTCCTAACGATCTTTGAACTGGCAGCACGTCGTGACGTAGATCAATGTCTTTAAGATCTTTGGCTCGATCATCTACTGGCAATGATTCTAGAACTTCTCGTCGATTACTGGCAAACTTATGTACGCGTCAATTGGCGTTCGCGCACATTGCTTGGGTTGTTTGAATCAGATCAATAGCTTCTCTTTTGGTTGATAAAGATGTAAATCCATCATCTACGAAAAAATCGTTTTGGAGAAAGTCTGCAGCTTCATTTCCAAATTGTTCTCGTCCAACATCTGCTGTTTTCGTAAACTGAAATTAGCGACGCCAGGAGAACAAGTTGCCCCGAAGAGATGTACATTCATTCGACATTCCACTATCTGTCCATCAAGTTCGTTATCTTTAAACCACAAGAAACGAAGGAAATTGCGGTATTCGGGAATAACATAAACACTATGAAGCATTTGTTCAATGTCACAGGTAATGGCGACATATTCCTTGCGAAATCTCAAAAGTACGCCGATCAAACTGTTCATCAAATTTGGTCCTTGTAGCAAGAGCTTGTTCAAGCAGTGATTGTCGAAAGCTGCGCGGCAATCGAAGACCACTCGGATGTGTTCTGTTTTTTTAGGGTGATGAACATCGAAATGTGGAAGGTACCATACTTGATCTGGTGTTGTTTGCAACTGTTCTTTTGGTATGTAGCTTGCATGGCCACGATCAAAAATCTTTTTCATGAATTCTGTATATTCTTTCTTGACTGTGTCGTTCCGAAGGATAGCTTTCTCTTGAGCGATAAAAGACGTTTAACACACTGTTCCTTGTTGTTAGGAAGGTTGACATTGTCCGTTTTGAATGGAAGTGGCGCTTCCCAATTTCCATTCTCATTCTTATGTATCTGAGTATCGAGAATATCATTAAAACGTTTATCTTCTAATGACTCTACTTGCTCTGTGCCGCGAACCTTTCGACTATAATGTAATTCGTTGTAGTCGAGTTCCATCATCTCTCGAACTTGCTGAGGACTAGCTAGTAACATCTTTCTTGTTAGAGTTGCTGGCGATGAAGGATACTCAACTGTGGTCATTTTTCGCACCTGTTGATATTGTTGCAGTTGATTGAACTGTTGAACCATAGCTCAGAAGTTCCTCTCTTTGAACGGATACTCGGTTGACTGAAGCTTTGTGCTGGACTGGTTTCTGGCTACCATTGTCTAAACAAACAGGTCCAATGATTGTCCAACCAAATCTGTACTCTTCGGCCCACGGTTCTTCATCTTTTCCGCAGATAACACTTAGTGGTTGAAAGGTTGTCGGAACGTTTCTTCCAATGAGCTAGCATACCGATCTCGACATTTGGTTGATAATAAATTTTGTCTGCTATTTCTTTCAAGTGTTCCCATTGTCTGGCGACATCGGGTGTTGCTATGTCATAATGAGTAGCGGGAATACAATCGCGGGCGTAGGCGAATTGGACTTTAGTTGGTGGATGTTCCCCATGAATATCTTCAACACAGAGACCAGTTGCTTTCTTAGTTCTGATAGTATTTGTGTCAACAATGGTATTCACTTGCAAATTTATTTCATCTCCTTGACACAAACACATTAAAAAACATGGTTATCAGATGATGTATGATGGTGTAGGGTGGTTATACAGGGAAGGGTTGTCAGATGGTGAAGATGATACAGATGGTGTATGATGGTCGAAGTGTGTCAGATGGTTGTCAGATGGTGTATGATGGTGGACGATTGTCGAAGTGTGTCAGATGGTGTATGATGGTGTAGGGTGGTTATACAGGGAAGGGTTGTCAGATGGTGAAGATGGTACAGATGGTGTATGATGGTGGAAATATGTGTTGGATTGTTGTCAGATGGTGTATGACGGTGTATAATGGTCGAAATGTGTCAGATGGTGTAGATAGATAGATAGATAGATAGTTTATTGAAATTTACATTGCAGCCATAAGCTGAATTAAGTAAAATTTACAAGAATTGATAAAAGAGAGGATCTTAAAACATGTTGGAGAATTCCACTATGCATTATATATGTACAAGTTAGAAAATACAATACCTAGATGCTAATTATGCCTAAATTAGGTTACGACGGTAAAAACTATTTCTGAAATGGTTCATTGTTTAAAACAGTTCTTGAACTGATCGTGTTTATACTTAGATTGCCTAATACTATTGTTAATTATGCCTTAATTGAATTACTGATGATAAAACTATTTCTATAACGGTTCGTTTTTACTCTTGGGTTATTGAATTTCGACTTTTTCCGTAAATTAAGCGAGATATTGTTTTTAGCAGGCAGTAGTTCGTGTAATTTGTGTGCATCATCGTTCATAATATTTAGGAAGACTTTGTTAGTAATCTGTTGGCGCCGTAGGAATAGGGAAGTTAGACCTGATAATAGTAGGGCATCTTCGTAAGATTCTGTGGGGTAGATGATTCGCATTGCTCGTCTTTGAATAGTTTCGAGATCACTCGAAAGATACGTTGGGAGACCATCGTGATACACTGGGCAAGCATATTCAATTAAAGATCTGATGCAGGATTTAAAAAATTGTACCAATTCCAAACAACCCACTTTGGCGCGCTTTAACTGAGTTAGGAAGTACAATCTTTTTGAAGATTTTTTAACGAGTTCGCTAACATGATAATTCCATTTTAAGTTGTCGGATACATTCAGGCCCAGAATTTTGGCATGTGGGACAATTTCAAGGGGGGCGTTATTTATCGTAACGGGTGGAAAGACTTTTTCCGATTTCGTAAAACTAATTCTCATTTCTTTACATTTGCGCTCATTCAGCACGAACTTTTCGGTTTTGGACTTGCGTACGAACTCATCTACGGTTGATTGGATATGACTTACTTCGTCTTTTTTAACAGTTTCGGAGATGTTTGAGTCGTCCACATATTTCCACATCACATCATTAGAGACATTTAAATCGTTAATCATGACTAAAAACAGCCATGGGCCCAATTTTGTTCCTTGCGGTACACCCGCGGGGACCGAGCCCCACTCCGAAACACAATCTTGGCAGAGTTTAACTCTTTGTTTGCGGTTCAACAAGAAATCTATTATCCAATTGACAACATTATTTGGAATTTCGCACGACACTAGTTTCTGAATTAAAATATCATGATCGATCAGATCGAAGGCCTTCTTGAAGTCAAACAATACGATCCTCACGTATGATGGTGTATGATGGTCGAAGTGTGTCAGATGGTTATCAGATGGTGTATGATGGTGTAGGGTGTGGTTATACAGGGAAGGGTTGTCAGATGGTGAAGATGGTACAGTTGGTGTATGATGGACGAAATGTGTCAGATGGTTGTCAGATGGTGTATGATGGTGTAGGGTGGTTATACAGGGAAGAGCTGTCAGATGGTGAAGATGGTACAGATGGTGTATGATGGTCGCGGGGTGTCATTCGGTGTAGGATGCTTATATTAGATATTACTATATTTTATTATTACTTACATACACTTTAGCCAACTATAGTATGTGTATAAAAATATAATGTTATATCTAACATTGCGGTTCTCGTGTGGGAAACGTAATTCAAAGTATTTGGCAAAATATATATTTAAACACATTTGACAGACATGTTCGACGTTAATATATTTAAACGCATCTGACAAACATGTTGGACGTAATAAATAAAAATATAATATGAATATCTGATATCTCACGTTGCGGTTCTCATGTGGGAACTGGGAAGCGCAATTTAAAGTATTTGGCAAAATATATTAAAACGTATTTGGCAGACATGTTGGAGGTAATAAATAAAAATATAATATGAATATATGATATCTCACAATGCGGTTCTCATGTGGGAAAGGTTATTCAAAGTATTTGGCAAAATATATTAAAACGCATTTGGCAGACATGTTAGAGGTAATAAATAAAAATATAATATGAATATATGATATCTCACAATGCCGTTTTCATGTGGGAAAGGTTATTCAAAGTATTTGGCAAAATATATTAATTTTAATAAACGCATTTGACAGACATGTTCGAGGTAATAAATAAAAATATAATATGAATATATGATATCTCACAATGCGGTTCTCATGTGGGAAACGTAATTCAAAGTATTGGGCAAAATATCACATTTGACAGACATGTTCGAGGTAATAAAATTTGAATTTTGCTGAACTTATCGCGCGGCGTTCTTCATTGTAGGCTTTTATTTCTCCAAGCAACAGTTTCTTACTTTAATAACACCAATTCGGTTGGGTAGTACGGTAGATTTGCTGTATAGGGACGTCATGTTTGAACTCTATTATACGTAAGGGAAATAGACGACTAGTATATAAATGGGAGAAATTTTGAGGCATCCAAGGGAGACATATATGTCATAAATCAAAGTGTTGGAATTTGAGACGGCTTCCGTTTTTGTGTTCGGGTCAATGTCTATACACTAGACTATATTAAGCGCGCGTAGGTTTATAGCGCCCTGGTTCACTGGTTGAATGTTTAAAACTTCGTAAGTAGATTTAGAGCCATGCCTTCGCTTAGAGATAACAATCGTTTTAGCACTCTGAAGGTAGCCGCGGGGATTGGGCCCCAGATTCGGCCTTAGATTGGGCCTCACATTCAACTGTGTTCAATTATTCAAAAGTAGATTATTTGAACCCCTTTTCTGGCTACTTTTAAGGTATTTTTTTACTTTAAATTAGCAGTAACATGAGCAATGCAACGTATCTATCGTATGCTGTGCATAAAATAGGAAAACAAGCTTCTTTGTGGGAGAAATTGAACATTTAAGACACTGCATTTACTTGTTCGATCAGTGTGTTTCAGCCTGATTAATAAACTTTAATTTCGATATCGATATTTAGTGACGAAATTCAGCAAACATGGTAATGTTAAATTTAAGTATAATGTAGATATGTCATTCCGCTTCCACGAGTAATAACAATAACATGGCACAAGCACAAAAACCCCAGATTTTTCATGATATGTAACACTTGCGAAAATGCGAAAATGTGAATATATACTTTCCAGGTTAAGTTATTATCGCAAAATTTATGGCTACTATTCATATAAATTGGATTAACAGTGGATAGAGTTACCCTCTTTCCAATACAGAACAGAATTAATAACAGCAGAAAATATTTCATGTATAATCAGTCTTTCGAAAAGATGGTTTATACGTGGTAATATACGAATTCTATATAGTGATCCCAAATTTCGATTCCTTCGTTTATTGATATAAAATGTTTGAAGCTAACTTCGCGGTATAAACGGCGTCGCAATTTAGCTCACTATGTGATTTTTACAACACATTTTATCTACAATGCTCGACAAAGGACGACACGATCGAGTGAAATTTAACACAGCCAGTTTTAAACGATTGTGGCATGGATAGATAGATAGATAGATGATTTATTCAGTTTTAAAAGACTTTACAGCTGATAATGGCTGAATTGTGTTAAAACTTTACAATTATAAAAATTTAAGAAACCTAATGATTAAAAATATTTACAATTACTAACAATAAAAGAATTCACAAACAGATCAGTTTTGGCCCTTGGAACGTTAAGTTGCCTTTTACGTCTCAGTTGGTATGAACAGTTATTTTCAGATGGTAGTAGAGATCTGAGTTTGTGGGATTGATCACGAGTGATCTCATTAAACAACTTGCACGTCAAGAGCTGCCTGCGTTCGAAGAGGCGAGGCAGACCGCTTTCTTCGAGGGAATCAGTGTAAGGCATCCAAGGGTAGATTAT